GCTAATAGAAAATTTCGAAACAATAAAGTTGAATGGATCTTGTCCATTTAATTTTTCCCGGTTACTTACAACTGATTTCAGAGAATGAAAAATTACGAAATAAGTTTTTCCCAATATTTATTAGCCCCCAATTTCAGGGATTTCGTACTTCATTTGATTTCAAGCGTATTAATTTCGAAACTAAATAGTTTGGATATCCGCGTCTTCTTTGACGCCAATTGAATTCTACCGTCGTGGTTGTACTTAAATACGTGATTTCAGCAAATGAAATTACGAAAATTAAAGATTTTCCAATTTTTTGCCCAATTTCAGATTTGGTCATGGCAGATTTCATTTCAAGCGTATATAACTTTCGAAAACTAATAGTTGAGATTCGCGATAACTTCTTTGCGCCATGAATTCTCAAGTCGTGGTTGTACTTACATACGTGATTTCAGAATAATATTACGGAAATTAAGTTATTTCCCATTTTTTGCCCAAATTCCAGGAATTTGATGGCTTACATTATCATTTCAAAGCGTATAAATTCGAAACTAATAGTTGGATTTCGCAGTCTTTCTTTGCGCCATTAATTTCTCTCGTGGGTTTACTATACAATAACAGTGATTTCAGAATGAAATACGAAATATAAGTATTTGCCCATTTTTTGACCCCAATTCAGGTATTCGGCTCTTCATTTCATTTACAAGCGTATAAGTTTCGCAAACTAAATTAGTGATTCGCAAGTCTTCTATTGCTGCCATTGAAATTTTCGTTCGTGGGTTGTACTTTACATACGTGATTTCAGAATGAAATTTACGGAAATTAAAGTTTTTTCCATTTTGCCCCAATTCAGGATTGGGCTCTTATTTCATTTCAAGTCGTATAATTTCGACACTATAGTTGGATTCGCGTCTTCTTTGCGCCATTGAATTTCTTCGTCGCTGGGTTGTACTTTACCATACGTGATTTTCAGAAATGAAATTACGAAATTAGTTTTTTCTCCATTTTTTGCCCAATTTCAGGATTTGGTCTTCATTTCATTTCAAGCGTATAAATTCGACAACAATAGTTTGGATTCGCGTCTTTCTTGCGCCATGAATTTCTCTCGTTGTTGTACTTACATACGTGATTTCAAGATGAAATTACGAAATTAAGTTTTTTCCATTTTTTGCCCCAATTTCAAGGATTTGTTTCATTTGATTTCAAGCGTATAATTTTCGAAACTAATAGTTGGATTCGCGTCTCTTTGGCGCCATTGAATTTCTCGTCGTGGGTTGTACTTACATACGTGATTTCAGAATGAAATTACGAAAATTAAGATTTTTTCCCATTTTTTGCCCCAATTTCAGGATTTGTCTTCATTTCATTTCAAGCGATATAATTTCGAAACTAATAGTTGGATTCGCGTCTTTCTTTGCGCCATTGAATTTCTCGTCGTGGGTTGTACTTACATCGTGATTTCAGAATGAAATTACGAAATTAAGTTTTTCCATTTTTGAGCCCCAATTTCAGATTTTGGTCTTCATTTTATTTCAAGCGGTATAATTTCGAACTAATAGTTCGATTCGCGTCTTCTTTGCGCCATTGAATTTCCGTCGTGGTTGTACTTACAGACACGATGATTCAGACAATGAATTTTACGAAATTAAGTTTTTACCCAATTTTTTGCCCAATTTCAGGATTTGTGTCTTACATTTCCATTTCAAGCTGTGATAATTTTCCGAAACCGTTAATAGTTAGGGATTCGCGTCTTCTTTGCGCCATTGAATTTCTCGTCGTGGGTTGTATTTACATACGTTGATTTCAGAATGAAATTACGAAATTAAGTTTTTTCCCATTTTTTGCCCCCAAATTCAGGATTGGTCTTCATTTTGATTTCAAGCGTATAATTTTCGCAACTAATAGTTGGATTCGCGTCTCTTTGCGCCATTGAATTCTCGTCGTGGGTGTACTTACATACGTGATTTCAGAATGAAATTACGAAATTAAGTTTTTCCCATTTCTTGCCCCAATTTCAGGATTTGGTCTTCATTTCATTCCAAGCGTATATTTCGCAACAATTGTTGGATTCGCGTCTTCTTTGCGCCATTGAATTTCTCGTCGTTGGTTGTACTTACATACTGAATTCAGAATGAAATTACGAAATTAAGTTTTTCCCATTTTTTGCCCCAATTTCAGGATTGTGGTTTTCAGTTCATTTTCAAGCGTATAATTTCGAAACTAATAGTTGGATTCGCGTCTTCTTTGCCCATTGAATTTCTCGTCGTGGGTTGTAACTTACATACGTGATTTCAGAATGAAATTACGAAATTAAGTTTTTCCCATTTCTTGCCCAAATTTCAGGATTTGGTCTTCATTGATTTCAAGCGTATAATTTCGAAACTAATAGTTGGATTCGCGTCTTTCATTGCGCCATTGAATTTCTCGTCGTGGGTTGTACTTACATACGTGATTCAGAATGAAATTACGAAATTAAGTTTTTTTCCCATTTTTTGCCCCAATTTAATGAGGATTTGGTCTTCATTTGATTTCAGCGTATAATTCGAAACTAATAGTTAGGATTCGCGTCTTTCTTGGCGCCCTTTGAATTTCTCGTCGTGGGTGTACTTACATACGTGATTTCCCAGATGGAAATTAACGAAATTAAGTTTTTCCATTTTTGCCGCCAATTTCAGGATTTGGTCCTTCATTTTGATTTCAAGGCGGTAATAATTTCGAAACTAATAGTTGGATTCGCGGTCTTCTGTTGCGCCATTGAATTTCTCGCGTGGGTTGTACCTACATACGTGATTTTCGAATGAAAACTACAAATTAAGTTTTTTTTCCCATTTTTGCCCCAATTTCCAGGATTTGGTCTTTGTTTTCATGTCACAAGCGTATAATTTTCGAAACTAATAGTTTGGATTCGCGTCTTTATTTGGCGCCATTGATTTTTCTCGGTCGTGAGTTGTACTTACATACGTGATTTCCAGAATGGAAACTAGAAAATTAAGTTTTTCCATTTTTTGCCCCAATTTCAGGATTTGGTCTTCATTTGATTTCAAGCGTGTAATTTCGAAACTAATAGTTGGGATCGTATATGCTTCGCACCATTGAATTTCTTGTCGCGACTTGTACTTACATACGTGATTTCAGAATGAAATTTCGAATTTAAGTTTATTTCCATTTTTCTACCCAATTTCAGGATTTGGGCTTCATTGGATTTCAAGTGTATAATTTCGAAACTAATAGTTGGATTCGCGTCTCCTTTGCGCCATTGAATTTCTCGTCGTGGCTTGTACTTACATACGTGATTTCAGAATGAAATTACGAAATTAAGTTTTTTCCCATTTTTAGCCCAATTTTGGGTTTTGTGCTTGAATTGTGTTTATGCGTGTAATTTCGAAACTAATAGTCGACTTGACGTCGACTTTGCACCATTGAATTTCTCGTCGAGAGTTGTACTTACATAATTTCAGATAGATAGTCCGAAATTAGGTTTTTCACCATTTTTTGCCCGAATTTCGCGATTTGGGGTTTATTTGTTTTCATGCGTATAATTTCGAAACTAAGAGTGGGATTGATGTCAGCTTTGCACCATTGAATTTCTCGTCAAGAGTTGTATTTATATACCTGATTTCAGAAAAAAATTACGAAAATAGGTTTTTCCCCTTTTTTTGACCCAATTTCGGGATTTGGGCCTAATTTTTTAATGCGTATAATTTCGAAACTAAAAGTCTGATCGACGTCTTATTTACACCATTGAATTTCTCGTGAAGAGTTGTACCCTCGTACATGATTTTAGAAAGAAATAAACGAAATTATATTTTTCCTCATTTTTTGCCCCACTTTTGGGATTTGTGCTTCGTTTGTTTTTATGCGTATAATATCGAAACTAATAGTCGGATTGACGTCTGCTTTGAACCATTGAATTTCTTTTCGGGGGTTACGCAATTTCAGAAAAAAATTACGAAATTAAGTAATTTTAATTTTTTTGATCTACGCTCTAAGCATTTTTTTCTCAGCCAAATTCAAAAAAATCTGTAAATTTAGTGACCTCTAGAGATTTTATCATTTATTTTTTTTTACACAGGGAGTTTTGGATCTCATTGTGAGTGAATCATACAAATAAGCGATTTAAAAGAACAACTTTGGGTCTCGCTGTGAAGGAGTTGAAAGTGTTCTTCTGAATACTTAATATAATGGGTTTTCACAGTGTTCCAAGCATTCGATTGTTTTGCCTGAACAATCTAAATTTTGATGTATCCAGAATTTCTGAAAGAATGTCCCTCAAAATATATTTAAAGGTACTCTTGTTTGTTCATTTAAATGCCAAACAATTGATGCGTCAGAGAAATAACCCTAGCTATAACAATTTTACCAAATTAGACCACACCTGAAATTTTGAATAGTGATTTAACAAATATATTTAGTTCAGGGTTCTTATCTACAGAAGAATATACGGTGGCCTTTCAAGAGCGTAGTAGTCGTAAACAATGCCATTAAAGCCTGTGAAGGAAGGCTTCAAAGTATGTTATTAAGTGTGCTTTCTGTGGATATTTGATGAAATTTCACGTACATGAAGGCAAGTCTGATGATAGGATGATGGAAATGGACCTTGGGATGAAAGGACGGTTATGTCAGTTGCTGGCATCTTGGAATATTTAGGAGACTCCTCGTTTTTGACCAATTCCTCACTAGCACCAAGGAGCTGCTATCTAAGCTTTTGCGCCGCGCCGCGGAAAGTACTTTTCTATACATTGGCTGCTGACAAACACTTGAAACTAGGAGAACGTGGTTTTCCTATGTCATTTGTCATTTGAAGCTCAATGCACAATCCAATATAATGACCTTTTGTGACAAAGAAGAATAAAGGAGTTCCTGTTTTCCGGGGAATGACTCCTGTTTGTTTCTCAGGTGTTTGGCGCTTTTGTGTTAGCGCCTTTTCCTAGCATTACTATTGCATCCGACATTTGGAATGTTTTTTGACTGAACCGAGTTGAACGAATGAAAATGCGTCGTTCGTTTGTTTGTGCAGAGCGCGCGCGCCGCGCGTGCGTGGTGGCGGCGGAGGACAGCGCCACGGTGCGGCAGGTGGAGGCGGCGCTACGGGACTCCGTCGGCGCAGTGCAGCGCGTGGCCTCGGCGAGTGTCATTGCCCCTGGCTCCTTCAACACAATCGTCTTGTGCCACTCGCGTGGAGTGGACCCCGATCGGCAATTGGTGGACTTAGCCGCAGCGGTAGATGTGAACAAGGAGGTTAGCGATCATGTGCATGCGTACACATTCTATTTTTTTCTCTCCTTTCTAGTGATGTTTAGGTGACCACTTCGTCTGAAAAGGTATGAGAACAACTGAAGGTAAATTCTTGATTTCAGTAAAGCTAAATCAAACTAATTTGAGAATAATTTACACTCGTCATAAAATGTTTTAATTAAGATAACGCGAAAGAGAATAGTGATATTTGGTAGAAAGTAATATGTGTAAAATTAATTTAAATAATTACATTTTGACATTAGTATAAGCACTATTTTAAGCGCTGTACATACATAAAAATGTTCTCTTGCCCAGTCAGAGAAGATGACTTAGAAGTCCCTCCCACCAGGCAATCGTGGAAATCCCTCGGTCTGGGCGACCAATCGCTGGCATGATAGGTACAAATATAATGAGGAGGGCTCGTATGTTTACGTACGAGTCAAAAATGTCATTTGTGGCTGTCGACGGTCAATTCGCCTGATTGTTCACAACTAATTTGCATCTCCGTATAACCCTGATTTTTTGCTGTCCATTCGCTCGTGAGACATAAGTATGCTGTTGGAACCGTTTTGCAGGGCTAGTTTCGTTTGCCCTTAAGCATGCGCTTGAAGGTGCTGCAGCGGCGCTGATGGATCATGCAGCCCCGACTCTCGTTTGACTGTTTCCAGACACGTCAGTTGATATAGCCATTAGTACCGAAAGTCGGTTGATATAGTCATTAGTTCCGTGCATGTTTTACCGCGAGATGCCGCTGTGATCTTTTGTCCCTACTGGATAGCAAGATACGGCGCTGACCTACGTAAACGACGATAAAACTGTTGAGTTTTCAAGAAATTTTATACTTAATTTAAAGCACAAGCCGTCTGAAACGCAATAATGTGAACAAATCGCCTCTAATGTAAATTTGAACAATGTGAGAGACAAACACTTTTAAAATTCTTTTGAAGAAAAAACAAAAGAATATAGCATTATGGCGTTTGTTATCGTATAGATTGCCCTTAGCACTACAGCTAATAAGTTTAAAGAAAAAGAATGGAACATTATTGTGAAAATCTGGTTTTTGATATTTTTTAAAAATTGCTCACATTGCTCGCATTATCGAGTGAAAACTACTAAAATTTTCAACAAAAAAATGTGTAGGGTCTTAATAAAAGAATTAATTAAGCAGCAAATATTTTACTTGAAAGGATAACCTCTATCTTCAATTTTGTATTTGTAGGAAGACGCCGAGAAAATTTCAATCTATTGCAATTTTCAAACACAAAGTTGTCAGAGAAAATCGGACCTACGCCACCTTTATAACTATATTTTACTCTATTCTTGCAAGAAATTGAAAGAAATAATTTGGAGCCATTTTTGAGAAAATATGGAAAATATTCCAGGGGCTTCATATGAATTAATGAATTTTTTCAAAATCGCAGAGCTTCGACTCATGCCAGGTGGACAGAGGGTTCTTCAATTTGCAAAAAAATCCTGCGCATGCGCTATTGTTGTTCACTTACACCAGACAGACTGACGTTTAAAAAAAACACTTTTTCGGTATCAGGGGACCCCAAAACGTGTTTAAAATATGTTAATTATATATAATGTTTATAAAACATTATATCACAATAAGTGTCAAGGTCTAGGGCTATAAATTCATTTTTTGTCTCTTTCAATAAGGGGCCGTCTATAAATTACGTAACGCAAATTTGGAGTAATTTCAATTTCCCTCTCCTCCTTGTAACGCTCCCGTAACACGCGCTAAATAATCACTTTATGCGTGCGACATTTTAGCGCAGTAAAACAATTAGTATGCTTTTACTTGTGTTGTATATTGAATTTAATGAAAATGAAAGTAGAAATTAGTTGTGGATGCTGGCTGCACCTAACAATAAGATGTGGTAAGTTGTGAATGAAGGAAGAACTAGGACGAGAAATGGTTGATCACAAGCTGTGCACACGCCGTCATGGATAACGCATGAGCGAGACAGCGCCAATTCAAATGTATTCTAGAATATACTTCATATAAATGTGGAATGTGGTCTTTGTGATCTGTTTCGAAACGCTTAACTGAATCCCCCTACCCGTATGTGAAGCAACGCCTCTTCAGACACCCTCCCTCCCTCCTTTAGCGTTACGTAAACTCTAATAATTTGTGTACTGGCTGCAGTGGTGAGCGTGTTGTTTGTGTGTGCGCAGGGGGTGGTTGTGCACGTGACGGAGCACGCGGAGGGCGTGCGCGAGGGCGAGCGCGAGGGCGTGCGCGAGGGCGTGCGCGAGGGCGTGCGCGAGGGCGTGCGCGAGGGCGTGCGCGAGGGCGTGGTTGCCGTGCGCTGCGGGGGGCGGGGAGGCCAAGAGCGGCGCGCGGCGGCGCTCGTCGAGGCGGTGGTGGCCTCCGCCGACCCCTCTGCCTTCGCCGGACAGACCTTCTTCTTATAACGCAAGGCAGCTTTCCTTAATATTGACAGGTCAATTATTTGTATATTGTACTGGAAGTAGTAGCAGGCCTTCATTTCTGGCGGAACGAAATAGGAACTAGTGGGGCGACAGAATGGCACAAACTTTCTCATACTAGTTAGTTTTCTAATTTCTTTGGACTGGGCAAGCTTTATATTCTTGCCCCATCCTCTTGCCAGCTGCCATCTGAGGCCGCTCAAAGTTAAAAAGTAGAACCGAAGTATTACTTTAGGGATATTAAACAAGTGTAAAACTTCGTCCTATACGTTATATATCTTATTTTTGTTGAAAAATTGTAAGCCTTTTTTAAGAAAATTTCGTTTAAGCGTTACTGTATATGCAAAATTTATTTTTTTTTCTCAGAAAACTCACGAGTTTTTGAAAACTTATTTGGAAGTGTTTTGAAGCATACCCACTCTGAAATGCATGTATACAAAACCCAGGAGATTTCGTGTGATTTATTTTTTTTAAAAAGTTTGTAAGTTTTGAAAACAAAACAAAACAATAGAGCAATATGGCGTTTATGTCATCAAATAGAATGCACGTAGCACTAACCTCACCAAAAGTTTGAAGAAAAAAAATAGAACCGTTTTTGAATAAATCTTATTTTTATATATATTTTTTTTAAATTGCCCAAATTTCACGCAATGTTGCCACAAAACTACTTAAACTTACAAAAAAGTGTACATGAACTTAGTGAAATACTAATTATGGACAACAAATTTAATTTGAAGAAAACATCTCTATCTTTAAATTTGTAAATGTAGGAAAACTTCGAAAAATTCAAACTTTTACGATTTTCGAAAATTCTCCTTGAAAAATTCCCCTGCTTATCTGAATACTTCTTGTTTTTACTACTTCCTTTCCACTGTGTATTACAACGTGGTACTCCACGTCTTCATACTAGCCTTGCAAAACTCTAGGATGAGATTGATCTCCAGGGTCTTCAAAATCCAGTCATGTGGTACAGTGTCAAAGGCCTTCCGGTAGTCAGTCAAAGCCATGTTCAAATTACATTTCTGTTTCCTCTCATCATTCAAAATGACTTTGTTTAGTAGTATGATTTCTTTACCGCCATAGAAACCTTTGTGACATTAACTCTGTTCAGCTGGCAACATATGTTTTTTCTGTAGTACATTTTGTTAGCTATAGCTCTTTTTATAACTTTGCACATAATTGACAATCAAGTGATTGGCCCGTAGTACTCCACCATAGATTGAGACATTCCGTGAGTTCCTTCGAGTTTTCTAAAAAAATATTAACAGCGTTTGCTTGATGAAAACGTAATACTGTTAAATTTATTAACGTTATTAGGCCGATAAACACCAAATAACAAAAGTTAGTTAACCGAGGCGATAGCCGAGTTAACTAACCAAGTCCATTATTTTTTATATCGGCCGTGTGTTGTTCAATACTTTTCGTAATACCATCTTCTTATAAGAAAAAAATATAAAAAAGAAACACCTTTGCTTTTAATACGTGGGAGTGCAACGCCATCTTCCATTTAAATTCTATACAATGAATATAAAATTTACTCAAGGTTGCAACCAGCTACCTAAGGAGCAGATCGTAACTTCAGGTGCCTCTGCGCAAAATGTGGGCTGTTCCAAATAAAGCAATTTCTTGCACTTCCCAGACTATTGAATGACGTAGGAGTTAATCCAAGCTCTTACACAAATTTTACGGAACAAATTCCAAAGCTCCGATGACTATCGGTACGGCCTGTGCTTTTACGTCCCACATTCGGCTGATCTCGATTTCCAAACACTTGTATTTAAGACGTTTCTCAGCCTCCTTTGTTAAGACATTTTGATCGCAAGGCACAGCAACATTTACAAGTAGACACGATTTTTTCTCCAAATCCCGAATAACAATATCTGGTTTGTTTGTTGCTATCATGCGATCCGTTTGAATTTGTTGGTCGTACAATATTCTATAGAGTCCAACAGACATCACCGGTTTTGGTGAGTGTTCGTACTCCTTGGGACATGTGTTTGGAACTTTGAGGGCAGTACAGATCTGCCCGTGGAGGTAACTATACACCCGGTCGTGTCTTTTCAAGTATTCGATCTTTGCTAGAATTGGACAAGCTACGATCAATGGTTTCTACTTGTTCCTGGCAGATGCGACATTCATCAATTTTGAGAACGCTTTATCATAATATCCTGTTCTCAATGCCTGAACCTGAGCTATTAGAACTGCTTCCAATTTTGGCTTCATTGCTCCTTGTCCATTCTTTTTAGATATTGTCCATGCAGTGATTTGTCTCCACGATTTCTTTAACATTTTTTGTCTCACATTTCATGTTTAGTAATCTCAGAAGTTCAGTGTCAGTGTTATTCTGTATGTCTTGCATAATGTCCTGTGAAATACTTCTTGCTACACTAACAATACAATTATAATTATTATATATTATATTATATTATATTTTCTTCATATCACATCACGATTTTAAGACATTACCAGGAACTACTTTACTGTACTTATGGAGTTTTAGAGAAATTTCATTTTGTCTATTTTGGCTTCTGGCTTTAGTATTTTACATTTGTTTTCTTTTTCATCATTATTTTCCCTATATTCTCTTGGCACTGATCAAGCTGGAAACATGTCTGCAAGCCTAGATAATCTTGAAGACAGTTGCATTTTGCCATCCTCTGCAAGGGGAGACTCCAGGGACAGAAAGTTTTCAAAATCTAAATGAAAAGGGGAGATAATAACATTCAAGATTTTTAGATTTCTTTCACTGAAGCTGACAAACTTAGTTCGGTCTCGAAGAATCTCATTTTACCTTTGAGTATGGTCTCAGATACCTTTTGAGGACCGACTTCTCTGAACTTGATAAACCATGCGGCTCCTTGCAGTGCTGGCGATTACGGCAGTGTGCAAACAATCACATTTTCACTTGTCTCATTTCAGGATTCAAAAGAGACCACAAAAGCTTTTTGTAGAGATAGTATTGAGAGTAAAACAAATTCGTAGTAGTCATACCGAAATTTAATGTACCGCTAATAGAGTTGCCACCTATTGACACTCACCCGAAAATTTTCATGAGAGGGGGCCAGGGGGGTAAGTATGTTTTATTTAACATTTTCACATATTTTTTTAGTTGTACAATCATAATTTTAATTTATTAGTTTAGAAACAATCAAATAAATTACATTTCCATAGTCAACCATCTATAAAACAAATAATAAATGATTACATTAAAAATAGAATCTCTATATTACTTTTCTGTAATATTTATTTTTAAAAACTAATTTTTCTTCTAAGTATATTTCTCATTTGAAACTGCTTTCTTTAGTAAGCAAACTTGCTTCTTATTGTTTGATAATTTGTGAAATTCGGCACAAGACATGCCATAGTTAAAGTTTTGTGAACAGTTCTGCTCTGACTAATTCGACTCTCATCCTGTTTCTCAAATCGGACCTAATGTTTTCCATAATTGAGAAAAACCTGTTCTATGTAAGCATTACTTACGGGGATGGACAAAACCCTGCTAACAATTATGGATAGTTCTTTAAAATAATTTGATGTAGAAACAGTTTTGACCCATATAATGCCTGTCGTGTAGTCTTGAATTTCTATTTTGGAAAGTGTGTTTGATACTACTTGTATTTCATCGTACAAATTACCTTCGTTAATATTTGCATTTACTATTCTCGCAACTTGTACAAATTTGTCAAAGCAAATCTCTTTACCTTTCTTCAAATTGAGAATATTAAATTACTGAAAGGGACTGTGATCGTAATTGTACCATTTTTCTAGATAATCTATTGCCTTAGTATAAACCTTTGTTGCTTCTTTTTCTAATTTTAATTTACTGTTTCTGTCAAGTTTAAGACAAGTTAGTGAGCCAGTAAAAGATTCGAAATATGTAAACTCATTTAATATTTTTATTTGTAATTTATAAAAAAAGAGAAAACAATTTTTATTTATTTCTACAAATCTCATGAAGTAAAACAATATTTAATAAAAATAAAAAGTTGAAAATACAGAAAATGCGTGCAAATTCTTGAAATCTAAGAATCAGAAATATTGGAAAGCGTAGTACATTCAATATTGTGCATGACCCAGAGATGAAAGTAGTAAACCCGGAGATTGGTCATGAAACCCAAAGTCTCCGGGTGAAACCCGAAGAAGTGGCAACTTTAACCGCTAAGAATAATTTTCAGTAGTAAAAGTAAGAAAATATTCTTTCTGATAGGCAGAGTGTGTAGAAAAAATCTGGTGATCATGAATAACAAAGAAACTTATTGTTTCCATCCACAGTTAACTTGAAAGTTAAAAGAAATGTTTGGAATATTTTCATTACTAGTATGGATTTTTAAGTGCCTAAAACACTGCGATGAGTTGTTCCATAATTGATATTCCCCAATCGATTTTAAGGAACTGAAGGCCCTGCAAATATGGAACGGATATTTTGAATGTAGAGTTTTGTTTTAAATTAAATCTGTTCTAAAAGAACAGAACTGTAAAAAATATTGTGTAGGAATTAAAAAAAAAAGAAGTATATATGTAATATCTGTTTGCAGTTAATGCAATTTATATATTTAAAATACATTCTTTTTAAAAATATTCCAAAATTTTCTTAAATCGTTTTCCATGAATAGAGCAAGGGATGCTTAAAAGATCGGCTCAGGTCTAATTTTTGTGTAGTTATGTGAATTCTCGAAACTTGTATAAGTTGTAAATGATGCGAGAAATGTGCTGTTGTAGCCCCACTAGTTTTAGAACTGAATATACTTATCAAAAATTAAAATATAATCAATATTGGTCTTTTAAGATGTTATTTTTTGTACAAAGTTCAATAATGCAGAGTATGGGAAAATAGACCAGCACAATTTTCTGTACCATTCTTTTCTACTTATAAGGAAGACAATTTTAAGAAAAAATAAAGATTTTTTTTTTTTTTGGTGAAGAAGAGAAAAAAGCATATTTTTCACACAAAAACTATTTTTTTTTCCTTCAAAAAAAAAAA